AAGACATATCGGGTATATGACATCAGCAGAAAGAGGATCTTTCATAACAGTTATAAGCTGTTTGAGCGCAGGGGGGACCTTTGTACCACCATTCTTTATGTCCCCTGAAAAAAACCATCTCCGCTTTTAATGAAACATGATCCACCTGGTTCAGATTCTTCTTGTCACATATCGTGATGGATCCAAATTCCAGTATTTACCTCGTGGTTTGATCACTTTTGCGTTTCACTAATCCGTAAAAGGAAAACCCTATTCTGCTTATTTTAAATTATTACAGTAATATGAGAAATATTAACGTTTTGGATTGAACCCGCGAAAATGGCGTATTATCTTAACATTGCAATGAGGCAATAAGGACACTTAAAATGTAATCTTTCGATAAAGTGTTTATGGGTCCTCTTAAAACATATTACAATGATGAGATAAGACGATTTATGTGAGAACAAGGCCAACAAGTGACTTAATCTGATGTTATTGAGATTTTTTTAAGTCTAACGGGAGGTAGCCACCAAATAAGGACACTACGTGCAGTATTCGAAACAAATCCCATGAAGCAGATGAGAAAGACAAAGCGTGGGTACCATGTTTGTAATGCGACTTGGTTTGGGCACATAGCAAATGTCTGCCTAAATGTTAAGCAATATTTGCATGTAAGTATCTTGATCTGCTTTCGTAAATTCTTTAAAAAAAACGTATACCATCGTTTTTGTTCTTAATAAATGGGGTATCCAACAATTTGTCTGTAATTAACTTGCTTTAAGTAAATTAATTAAAGCTTGTGGGTAATTTGGTATGTTATATAACTTTTCCCGATATAGTATTACCCACCAATTTTGGCGAACCTACTTTCTTGACTATCTAAGATATTAATTGAATATCCCTTAAACTACTAAAAATATCGAAATCGTATTCTGGTATACCCTGCGCAATGAAACAATCATTACTTATGAATGTTTTTCTGTTAAAATCGTATTAGAATTCTTAAGTTACTGACCAAGAACCTGTATCTATATCACATTATCCTAACTTACTCTTTTCTATTTAGCGTAACATAAATATGTATGTAGTTTCTTCAGTTCGGTTTTCATTACATACAATGAAGTTTAGATTCAGTAAGTCCTTAATTTATACAAGGCGATACACTTTTTACCACATATTTCAAAATAAATTAACGGGCTTCGAACTACATAAATCCATCACCAATTCGATCGAAGTCCTCCCTCACGATTACATAAAGTCAGATGAGCGTTAAGATGACCACAATTATGCCTGATTTTTACAGCTACAATAACTTTCATATGCATTGAGACTACAAATTTCGCGATTTTTCCTTCGGTACAATGTTCTCATTTAACTGAATATAATATGAAGAATCGGGAGATCTACCAGCCCTCATGAAAAATACTCATAACTTTTATTTGTTAAAAGTGGGCTGAGTTCCACTGAAGCCATTTACTATACCCATTAAGATTTAGACAGCTGTTTTTGGTAAGAGGCTAATGCGAATGTATATTGTGGTCACATTCTAGTACTGTTTTTATGTGGTTAGGTAGCAAGCATATATTATATATCGTTTTCCAATAAGAGTGATATGATTTAAAAACAAAACACACACTAATTGTAAAGAAAATTTAAATGTTTTTTATTTAATATGAAGTACAATCGATACAATTAAGTTATGAATATAACACCATTAAAATGCCCTCCACAACTTCTTTCGCAGGAACGAATTCGATCAACCCAATTTTTTAGTACTTTTCCACTAAATCAAGTCGTATATCATGAAGAGAAACCTAAAGACCAATGACTTCAAATAACCCCACAAGAAGTAGTCTTGTTGGGACCAAATGTTGTCAAGATCAAAATCTTCCAATTACGGCCAGTTGGATTATCGATCTATACCGCTCTTCATTGACAGTAAGGATGTTACCAGCTTCATTTCGAAAGATGTACGGACCGATGATTTCACCAGACAAAAAACCACACCAAACTGTCAATTTAGATGAACGTAATGGTTGTTCATGAATAATTTTTGGATTTTCTTCGTATCAGAATCGAAAGTTTTGTTTATTTTAAATTCAGATCATAACATATTAAAAATGGGCGAAACGACATTGGAAACCCCATACAAGGCGTTCATTACCAGTAGAGTAACAAAAGTCTTAACTAAACGAAAAAATTTATCGCTTAAGGACTAAGAAACGATAAAAATGCTCCCTTTAGTCGAGTACAAACAGAAGGATTGCGCGAAGAACTTCGTTTGCTCAAAAGAGACCAAGCCATCTTTGAATCAATACAACATCTTTCGCTCTATGTCGACGAACGGCGTATTATCCAATTACGGGGATTCAGATTATTGATCATTTTGCAAACGAATCATTCATTGTTAAATAAAACCACACTGTCGTGAAACATTAAAATACAAAAATTACTATTTGCGAGACTTTTGCAATGACTGAATCCCAAGCTTAATCAAGCTCTTGCAGATGGCTACAATGTGAGGGGTAATTTTCCTATAGTGATCTAGTTGCATTTGTTCCAATTATACACACAATTGTATGTTTAGTGAGTGATGTATTGATTATTATAAGTTCGATACTCCTTACCCAACTACAAATAATGCCTCTCCGAATAGAATCAGTCAATCTGAAACATCAGTTCCTTGGAGCCAAAACAGTTCCACTTGTAAAAACAGTTATTTATCTGTATGCCTATTTTTCGACTTGTTTAATTCTGTAGCAAACAACCATTAATAACAATAATAACAGTCATCATATTATTTAAAAGTTTTATTTACACAATTGTTATACTTTCACGGTTATATATTTCTGTATTTTATTTTACTCACAACATGTGGTTAAACTCTTTTCTCTCTTTTTATATCTTATGTAAAAGTGTATTGGAAACTAAGAAAGAGGTGTTGAAATTTGGAAGTGTTTCTTAAGTCCTCATACTAATGTCTATTATAATATGTTATGTGTCTATTATATATTAATAATCATAATTTTGAAGTCTGGAAACAGCAACTAAAAAATATGAATGATGCTGAACCGACAAGGGTAGGGTTATTTTAGGATCTTATTAGACGAGATAAATTTGATTAATATTTAGTTATTAATTAAGTATTTTATATATTGTTGTTTGTTATAAATTTAAAAAAAAAAACTTACGTGTTCTATTAAAACAGCTGTGCTCACGGCCAGCATAAGTAAACAGGAAATAATTTTGTAGTATTTCATCATATACAATATACTTGTATCTATATGTCACACTACTCATATTTTTGGGGTTTTGCTGGTTTAATTACTAAACGGAGCACCAAACGTAAGCAAAGATTTTTCTGGATAAATAAAACCACCTTTTAGATGGTAGTTATCAAATCACAATGATGTGGCCATAATTTTTAACTGCGGAAATCGTGTAACAACATCTCTATGATTCTTGTATTGTTCGCGGCCAAATCTCATAGGACATGACATTCGTAGGCTATACAACAATGTGCCATGCCGGTATATCGAAAATATTTTGATCCGATAGTGTATCCCTTATATGACCAAACGCATACCCCTTTATTTTTTATGAATGTCAAAACTAATTTAGGCCCCTATTATAATTCAGTATTATGGGTTTTAACTCAACTCGTCAAAAAACTATTTTAATCAGTTATTAGTTGAGCTCTTGAACTAAAATCCTGAAACTGGAACTGACAATTTGGAAAGATTAAAATAAAATTAAGGGACCGTGAGAAGTGTTTCGAACACAAAAAGGCGATACAATCTACTACTCTTAAGAATATACTTTTTGAGTAAAATTAAGTTTTTGAAGTGTTTTGCCCCTCTTCAGTCATTGGTGTTTTATCCACAACGTACAAATATGAACACCATCATACTTTTTAAAAGCAGGTTTTGTAACAACCATAGTTATCGTAGGATGCTTCAGCTCAAAGTAAAACTAATTTAAAATGCATTCTTCATAACTACCGTCAGCAAGGAAATGGAGAATTTGTGGTACCGTTCCTTTATCTCAAAAACAAAATGATTCCTCATGTAAACAAAAATAACTTATGAATCTGCAACAAACATTTTTTAAAACCATTTAATTGTCAATAAAACTTTGGCTTACTTAATGTTAGATATTTTAAATGGATTTGAGTGATCATGAAGGATTTTTTTTAAGCTCAATTTTGGCCCCAACATTTTTGTAATCGTAATATAAATCTAAACGATTTTTCGTTAAAAAATTTCAGCTGTTAAATTTTCAATTGTTAGGTTGGAATTTTTATTCGGGGATCATATTGGGATAGATATAAAGATATAGAATATTTGATCTTTGCGATACCAAAAAATTCATAAAATTCATTTCAAAAACCGTTTACATATATTGATAAAGCGTTTTGAACCTATCATAAATCTTTTGAGACATCCAAAAAGTTGTAATCTTAATCTTGCAAAAGTTTGATAGTTCAGAAGAAAGTGCCAATATGATGATACCTGCTTAGACGTGACTTCAATAAATGGCCTTCGGGAAAATTATTAGCCCCATTGCGTGAATTTCCAATGACCGGTTCGAACCCCTACAACTAGGTAAGATGAACTTAGCTGAATACTTCAATGGACTTCTCTTGGCCGGAATGATCTTGCAAAATACTGGCGGTACATACTCTTTCTTCATACTTCTTACCACCTACGGTTTCTGTCTCTTAAAACGTATGTGCATATGTCTATTACTCGAGTGCATCTAACATATAGTGCAACAGTTGTTGAAATTTTAAAATTTTGTTTTTTTTTGGGTTCAAGATTGTTTAATATTTTTCTGTCAAGCCGCCATATTTATTCGCATTCGCAAATACAGAAGTTTTATTGTAGAAAATCATTTAAGTCAACAAACACCAAATTCTATGGAAATGTATAAAAGGCAACCAGCTGAATTTTAGTTCTTCATTAATAAGTTTACTTCACAAATCGTTCGAAAAAGTTATACAAAAACACCAAAAAAACGTAATGCGCGCTTTAGTTATTTTCGCACTTCTCGGTCTCATCGTGGCTGTGACCGCCGCACCACCACCAGAAGCAGAGGCTGTAGCAGCACCGGCGGCCGATAAGGAAAGCGTTAAGAGTGCTGAGAGCGGTGAGAACGCAGCGAACGATGAAAATGTAGAATATGAATACTACGAAGACGAAGAACCTTCTGAAAGTGACGAGGAAGGTATAGATGAGGAGGGAGAAGAAGGCAGTGATGAAGAGGGCGAAGAAGGCGACGTGGTATACGAAGACGAGCCGGAATATTACCACAGCAGTGAGGACGATGAGGGATCCGATGAATCTGCTGAAGAACCTGCTGCCAATGCTTTTCTAATATAAAACCAATTTAAGTCTTAAGATATTGATTAATTACTTTAATTGCAAGTTCTAAAAACGAATTGTGGGATATGCTTTGTTTTGAAGAAATGTCAAATAAAGGAGAAGTTTATTACTTAGCAGCGTAGCTGATCATTCTCTCAAAACATCTTCACAATCACGGGAATAGCATTAGTGTGTTCTGTAAAAACGACATGCATGAAAAAATGTATGGTAAGGAATTCTTGTGATTAATCGCCTAAAGTGTCCGTTCAATTTAAAATTAATATAAAATGGAGTACACGCTAATACATAAAGTTAGTGCCAATCGGCAACTTTTTAGAGCTATATCCAATTGATCGACATGATACAGTCAGCGTATTCCTCTTTACTTGTAACCCAATGGAGAGTCCTCGAAGAACGTTCCTTTTCGGATCACCGATATATTGAAAATATATTAGAAGAAAGGGCCGATAGAGGCTTCAGGAATCATATGAAAACGAACTGGCAGGTGCACATGCAAGAGCTGGAAAAACGTATCCCTATGGTTCCGCCGTTTCAGCCCAATAGTAAGGAGGATCTCGATATCCTCGTTGTTCGATTCACTGAATCTTGCCGGCAAGCATTAGAAGTGGCTTGTCCAATAACACGAAGTAGGAATAGAATTAGTTCCGCTGGTGGTCTCTCGAACTTAAAATGTTACAGAAAGAATGCAGAAAGCAATATATAGCCAAGCAACCTCAAGGCGACTCAGACTGGGATTATTATTACAACCTCCTTAGGTCATTCAAAAAGGAAGTTAGGAGAGCAAAAAGAAATTCTTGGAAATATTTTTGTAATGATATCGAGAACACAGCGGAAGCGTCTCGACTTAGGAAAATAATGGCACAATCGGTGCTTAGTACCGGTTATCTTCAAAAGCCAGACGGTAGTTGGACGGTATCCAGTGAAGAGTCGCTGGGACTGCTATTGGATACCCACTTCCCAGGTAGTTCTGAAAGCCATACGGTTGAATATACTCAAGACAGTGGAGCAGAAATCCACTCTTATAAACACAGTCAGAAAGCAACGTACACTGGGCAATAAATAGTTTCAAGCCCTTCAAGTCACCGGGACCAGACGGTCTATTCTCGGCTCAATTACAGCAGTCGCAGAATAACATAATGGATTGGCTATTTACCATTCTTAAGGGGGCGCTGCAATTAAATTATATCCCTTCGCTGTGGAGGGAAGTCACGGTAATATACATAACTAAGGCAGGTAAAAGCTCGCAAACAAGCCCAAAGGACTTTAGACAATTAGTCTCTCCTCATTCTTTCTAAAAACGTTGGAAAGGCAGAACTACATATAAGAAACAACCTAAAACCAGATAAGTTGGCTGATTCGCAGCATGTGTATTCTAAAGGAAAATCCACAGAAACAGCGCTGAGCTCTGTGGTGGCGGAGATTGAAAATATGTGGAAGTTAAAAAATACACTCTAATTGCCTTCTTAGATATAGAAGGAGCCTTCAATGAGTGCGCTTAAGGATCTGGACATCTCTGAACCTCTCAGAAAATTAATTGAACAGATGCTCACGAGCAGGTATAAGCCGTTCGGCTGTATCGTGCGAATTAAACTTAAATGCTGGCAAGACAGAGCTAGTATTGTTCACCAGGAAACATAATACTCCAGTAGGGACGGCGCCAGTAATAAATGGTAGCACACTAACAATTGGAGATAAGGCAAGCTACTTAGGACATTCTACATTTATTGCCTACAGACCTGTTCTGTTAGCACGTGACAGCAAAGTTAGCTCTCAGACTGAGGGAATCCTCCCAATTAGTCGCCTGCAACAAAGGGCATTCTAGGATACTTAGTTTATTCCCGTTTCTACCCAAAACCACGGATTTCCGCAATCCAATAGAATTAAAGCTAAATTCGGTCCACAATATTGCCTTCCCCCCCAGAAAGGAGTGGGAAAGGGACTAAGTGAACAAGAATGCAGGAATTAGCATCTACACGGATGGATCCCAACTTGATAATCGAGTGGGAGGTGGTGTCTTCTCTGCAACTTTAGACATCGCCGTCCAGACCTCTGCAGTGTTTTAAAGGCGGAGATCACAGCAATCAAAGAAAGCCTTGTTGTATTGACAAAAAGTGTGCTCACAACAAGGAGCATATATAAATATACGGATAGCCAAGCGGCCTTGAAATCACTCAAGTCTCTTATGGTCTTATCAAAGATAGTGAAAGAATGTCTTGATCTATTAGACCACTCTACAATTAACCCCTGAAAAAGAGGGTATTTTTATGTGCGTCGTTAGACAGCCACTCTACCTACCTACCTACCATAATGGAAGTAATCAGGATACTTTACAGATAAGGATAAGATATGCTATGTAGAAAGCGGTGTTGCTTCATCTTTCTTCCACCTTCACGAATTTACTGATATTTCTGAGTATTTTTGCAACACAACAACACTGTAATCCACAACAATGATGGAGTATTCGATTTTAGTCAATTTTTTCTCACTGCATATTTTTCACAGCGGAGATTTCTCTTTCACAAGTTTCAAATCTCCTACTTATATTTTCATGTCATCTTACCTTTACTTCAATTTAACTTCTTTCATACTTCTTTCGCACTTTTTATCTACACACATATGTATGAATGCACATACGAGCGTAATAACATACATATACTTGTATGTAACAGAAACTATTTTAACTACTTTCAAAATATTGCGTACAAGTGGCAATTTGTGTTGTCAGTAATAAGAAACTATTGTAGATTCCAGTACGAGAAAATACATTGGTATTTGCGTGAGACAATAACCAAAATATTCGCGAAATTTACTTCTGTGTGTAATAATTAAAGCTCCCGGTCACATACTCGTACGTACTATTCCCCTTGATATTAAAGTTTTTTTGCTGCGTCTGTCATTATATTAAAAAGAAAAGATTTAGTGTGTAGAATACTGAATTACTAGATTAGCTAAGGCAACTTGTTGTTAATGACAGCTTCCTAACCACAAAAAGTTTTCGTAAGTGGCACTATTACACCATCAGAGCAGTGTGCCAGGAATGATGTATATGCCATTCTAAACATCATATACTCAAATCTAGAAAGAGAAAAGTAAGGTAAGGCTTAGTTCAGGGGCAGCATTATAACTTCGCAACTAATAAGAATATAATTCATGTTAAATGTTATACCCTGAACAGGATATATTAAGTTTGTAAGTCCCGGAAACGACGGAGACCCTATAAAATAAATATAATTAAAAGATCAGAGTGACAAGATGAGTTGATTGAGCCATGCCCGTCAGTCCGCTTGTCTGTATTTACGCGAATTAGTCCCTCAAAATGATCGGATTCAAGTTCTTGTATGAAAAACTTTTTTTCTGACAAGATATTTATTTTGCCTTTTTTTTATTTTGCAGACACTTTCGATGATTCCTAATAAATTTATTTATGTTTAATTTATTTTTAATAGACAAATTTTTATTTTTTAGTTTTATTTTTTTTTTTTCTAAGAAGTTTGTTATTGCACCCCAATAATGCGTGGAGTTGTCGCAAAACTATCTTTGACAGGATTATATTAAGTTTGTTTAGTTGAATACGCACTTTATAACATTTATTTTATCAGCTAAACTCTTACAAACTTCTAAATTGTATAAATTTATTATCTCTTCGAAAAATATTTTCAAATGCTAGCTTTTTTAAAGCTCCTCGTTTCGATACTTACATAAGTATGTGTATTGTAGTCTTACTCTTTCTGATGGTTAAGTATGAGTTTGCCTCCAAATCTTTGATAGTAGTAAAGTTGTAACATCTTTTATGGAACAGTGTGCGAATTTTCAGCAAAAAAGGATATTCATGATTGCATCAAATATTTTACAAAAATTATGTGAAAACCTTCCAAAAACCTTATTAAGTTATTTAAGAAAAGCTGTTTCGAGATACGAAGAAAATAAAGTTTTGTAGATGCGCATTTATATTGAACAAGGCGAATGTGAGTACCGTAATTTATAACCTGTTTATAACCTTTTTCGTAAGCGCTTCTTTGAATTTAAAAACAGAAAGCCCTAAAAATGATTTAAGTATTTTAAGTTAGGTAAAGCCTTCTTTTGGCTTGTTTTGAATTATAAAGGGAAAGGTTACCACAACGCGCATACATACATGGATCCAAGCATATACATACGCAGATAAGAGCCCTAACCCACGAGGTATCGGTGGAGATCCGGGAGCTAGTAACGAAGTAATCACCAAGGAAGATATAGGCAATTTGCCCACAAGTTTGGAACAAATCAGCGGGATAGCGGAGTGCGTACCGACCAGTTTGCATGATCGACACGATAGCTAAAATATTAGAGAGGCTGGTCTGTACATGCCTGGAACGTCACTTATAAAATGAGTCGCCGTGCTTATTTGAAAACCAATTTGGCTTCAGAAGACACCGGTCCATAGACACAGTCGGAAAATTGACGGCATTGCGGCCAAGGTTATAGAAGGTGCCAGATGGATGCATGGCGATAAAAAATATTGCGCAGTTGTTACCCTTGACATTAAAAATACTTTCAACTCAGAGGCAAAGAACACCCTGGGGTATCTGCGGAGGGAAAGTAGTAGCTATCTATCTGACAGACTGCTACTGTACGATACCGATGCAAAAATGCGTTACCAAAAAGCTACGTCGACTAATGGAGTACCACAGGGCTCAGTACTAGATCCATTATTATAGAATATACTATGTATACGATAGGGTTTTACGATTACCGCTGCCAAAAGAGGATATGTGGATGATATTGCTGTAACGACCGTTGCAAAGGAACGTTTTCAAATTGTGAGCATCTGCAATGAGACCGTATCGAAAATTAAGGATTAGCTCCCGACAACTAAGCTGCAGATTGCCGGCTAAAAAACAAATGCAGTGCTTATCACGAGGAGAAAAAAGCTAGAAGCAGTTGCCCTGCACATTGATGGCTACGACGTGCGTTGGCATTATGATTGATACGAGGCTAAATTTTAAGGCACATATTGCATG